ACTAGATAGCATTGGCAATATGCTCACAAACAATTATACCAAAATATAGCTATTCATAGTCGAGCTAATTGTAGTCAAGGACAAAATAGAAAAACACAAACACAATCTAATAATACAGAGGCTGAGGATATGTATAAAGTAGAATACTTACTACTAGTTACTACTACTGGCTTGATTAAAAAAGTTCGTGTAGCAATTTATTTGTCAATAGACAAATTGTGATCAGTTCTATTAGATATTGCTTTAGTGGTAAAAAGAGCAGGATGCCCGTGCCCAACATATTGCGGGCACTTGTGTCTATGCCTATAGACACAAAGGGCATAAATACCAGGCACATTAAAGAAATTAGCACAAAATGCCAGGCACTAGCAAAGGCATGAACACAAAGTGCTAGGCACAAGGTGCCAGAGTGATGGTGCCGAGCACAATGCCAGGCACAATTAAATAATAAATATCAAATTTCTGTGCCTGTGCCCATGCCTAAGTTTTCTAAATTTTCATATCTATGCCTATGCCTAAATTTTTCTCGGGGCACAGGCAGTGCCTGATTTGCAGAACCTAGTGGGCATTTAAAAATTTGCAGTTAGACGGTAACTATAGTTAATCTGATTAACAATTTCATTTATGATGATAGTGTGAGAAAGATATCTTGAATTACAAGATTTTTCAATACACAGATAAAGATGTTATGAGTTAAAAAGTCGGCTATTTTAAAAAGTCTTTTAAAAGCTATCTTATTTAAAAAATTTAAAGCTAGTAGTAATATCAAAAAATTATCCTCCTAAACTATATATCAAATGTTGATATATAATTTTCGGTATAATATGACTTAAACTAACACCTAAACTAAACATTTTTTTTCTTTATATCCGTCTATCTAATCTATATACCTAGTATAACCTAATCCAGCAAGCTATATACAGTATCTTTATAAATTAAATAAATTCTTAGATGTCAATCTGTTAATATTCTAAAGAATATAATGGATATTAGATATTACAATAGCATTTGTTTTCTCGTATGAAAAATATCTTAGATTATTCCCAGTGAGATGAATTTTTTTTTTTTTATAATGTTTATGCTGTTTAAATATATTGTTTATATTAAGGGAATTTTGTGACATAAATAAAATTGGTTCAAGCTGAATACCAGACAAAAAAAGATAAAGTTGGTAAAATAAATAAATCAAAATTTACGCGCGTAAATTCTGTGATTTCGAGAGAATGCTTTATAATTAGTCATTTCATCGCCAAGTGACTTTAGAATATTTGTATATTCTTCTTGACTAACATTCATTATTACTGATAATTCAGCAGAAAGTCCACTTAACGCTCCAACCTATAAAAAAAATTTAACCACAAATGTTCATAAATGTTAGGAAAAGATACATGAATTTGATAATAAATAATGAGACATACCAAACATTCTTCATTAGCAATTTCACCTAACCTGTAATAACGATAATAATTAGTATATAAATTTGAATGAATTTGTAAAACGAAAGAAACAAAACTAACCTTCCAGCCCAGCTTCCAAAAGGTAGTTCTCTATACTCATCTTGAAGAGTGGTTAGAGAGGGATGATTCTTCATTATATTGTGAATTAAAGGTGTTACAATACTAACTGCACCTCTTGATTCAGTCATTTTACGTACTAAAAAAATAATTAATATATTGGATCAATACAAATTGACAATATATACACAGTAAAAAATGTTAATATTTACAAGCCATGGTTAATTTTTTTGACATTGGACCGTCATTAAACCATCGAAAATCTGTTTCGCATCTATTGTTGTTTTCGTTAGGTCCAATATAATAAAAAAGATAATGGGTAACAGACATGTGATCTCTTACAATTCTATCCAGCCACTAGGTTTCGTTACTCTAACTAATTCAGATATGACAGTTTCCCATTCACTTTCTGAAAAGGAACTAACCAGAAGTCTCATGTGAACAAAATCGAAGAAATTATCAGGAAATGGTAGACCATTAAGAACATTTCCTTGAATAAATGTGGTATTTGGTGGTTTTATCTAAAAAATAATTGAGCCATTTAAAGCTTGTTTCACCAAAATTAAGGGATTTTAAAATTCTCTAAAATACCTGAGATGGAAATGTTGCTATTAAATCAATTCCGGTGAAATTTGAGCGCGGATAGTCATGGGCTAATTCCATTAGCCATGCTCCGGGCCCGCAACTGAGTCAATAAAAAAGCAAAATTTTGCTTAAGTACGATAAGTACTTTTTGCTTTTTTTTTAAGAAAAAAAAAAAACATACCCAACATCTAAAACTTCACTTTTTTTTTCTCGTAATATTTCATCGGTTGGAGCCGAAAAATTAGATTCCCAAAGATACCGGAATAAAAAATGTTGACGTTGTAGCCGATCAAGTTCTTCGTCATCATCTGGCATCGGATACCTTGTATTTTCGATATTTTGAAACCGGCGACCATCAACATAACGATAAGAAGTGGTGGATGGTTTTGTCGTTGAACAAACAGAATTTTTCGATTGAGGATTGCCCATGATCAAAAAACGAAAGGAAGGTGATGTTAAAAAAAAAAAAAGAAAAAAAAAAAAGAAAATAAATAAATAAAAATGAAAAAAAAAAATAATATGAAATGATGCGAAATGTGAAAGTTAAAAATATTTAAGGAATTGTGAATTTTTTTTTTTTTTTTTTTTTGAGCTGCAAGTACTATTATTTAGAATAACTGATCACGGCAGTTTGCTTAACAACCATTCATTAATGGGAGGAAAGTTCGTTACATGTTTAAATTTACCCGCGTCAATATTTACTGTAAGGGATTCGAAATTTTTAATGGTTGTAAATAAAGCCTTGGCAAATTAAAGGGTTTTAAGCGTAATTTAGTGACCATGATATATTTAAACGATAAATAAAAATAAAAAACAGTACTTCTTACTTTAAACATGCTTTAACATGATGTATACAAATTTTTTTTTCACGATCTTTAATATTGTCGTTTATTTCGGAAAACAACTAATTGTTCCTCAATATCCGCAGAATTTGCATATTTCTGCTATTTCATATCCACTAGATAGCATTGGCAATATGCTCACAAACAATTATACCAAAATATAGCTATTCATAGTCGAGCTAATTGTAGTCA